ACAATAAGGCTTTCAAATAAGTCATGGCTGTACGGCAGTGAAGCATTGGTGTTGAACACTGATGTCATGCCGTCATTGATGATGATGATGATGATACCCTTGAAACCTGTATTGTTCAGCACTGAAAGTGTCCTAGTTGGTTTTAAAAGGAATCGACTTATTGTTTTCCAATTATGAGCGGTTGGGAAACTGTTAGGGTCATCTTTACGTCGTGAGCTTTTAGATGGTCTGGAAATAATTACTCACATGACCGCAACCATTTTAAAAGTGGTTTATGCCAAAAAACCGTAGTCTGATGAACAGAGGGGATAAACTTTGGTGTACAGTAAAACGAAATGAACCGCATGGGCTGGCCTTAGCGGAGACACGATTGCACTAGAGGGCAGGCATCCTGAAGGTACCCTATGTAAAATGCGGTGTGTCCATGCGCAATCGTCCCTGCAGTAGGCTGTGTGATGTCTTTCTGTATGTTGTCTCAAGCTAGTTGGTGCGAGATAGGTTACTTTCAAGCTTTTTTATCTTTGCACTGGATTAGACGATTAAATGATTACTGCTGCTTATATAATCAATCACTTGTGGTACAGTTTCTTGTTACGGATACCTCACACTTCATCGTCAACTTCCCTTTACTATTTTTGTTTTGAATTGAATTTGACCACCCTATTTTTCAGTGCGACCAAACTAAACATCTGAAGCAAGTTGTGACCGGTGTAACTATTTCTGCGAGTTGTCAAAATGACTGAGGTTCACAATTCTTCCGCCTTGTACGAGTTGAAGGAACACGGTTTAATCAGTTATCCGGGTGCTGAAGAGGAGTGGAGTACCGAGATATTTCGCAACAAATTTGAGGTCTCCATCACTGACATGTCGGACACCTTGGAGTTCGATATGGTGCATATCGATTGCTCTTTCGCTAACGCAATTAGGCGCATACTCATAGCCGAAGTTCCCTCCATCAGCATTGAGCGTGTGTATCTATTCCAGAACACAAGCGTAATGCCCGATGAGGTTCTGTGCCATCGACTGGGCCTTGTCCCGTTAGCGATCGTTCCGCGACATCTGATATTCCCATCCAGAAGTTTGCCAGAAACGGATGAACTGACCGAATTCAATCCAATGGAGCATGTAGTTTTTGACTTCAAGGTTTCCTTCAAAAAGTCGGATTTGAAGGGCTGTTCAGAAAGCTCTGGAAAGGAGTTCATAAGTGAATTCAATATTCCCTCAGTTCGATCTTTGGCAGTCTACAGGTAAGCGGTGGCTGCTGATGAAGTCCGTCAAAAACAGTCCCTCCAGTGGGTCGTATGCTGCACCGGTTTTTGTAACTCAGTGCTTGTTTAAAAATTTGGATTCAGCCCAAAGGGAGATTTATTTTCGCCTTAGTTTTAGAGGAGGAACAGTGTTTCCGGTAAATTTTTGGATAAGTCCCTGCTCTTGGTAGCTGGCACTCATGCAGTCATTTTATGTGGATCTTGCCATAGTGGGTCTAACTTGAGGGTTGGTCACTTTGGAGGGGTATTACTGGATAAGTGAACCTCCCGGGTGTCCGTTCAACTTCACAGTGTAGACATTCAAGGACTAGGTGCGGTTAAACCAACAAACACAATCTTTTGGGATAGAGTATGATTTCGTCTTTTTAGTCCGCTGTGTGCATATGCTCGATTTGGAATTGATCACTCATTGTATGAAAACACTGAATATTCGTTAATCCAGAGAATTCAAGTGCTGTTTGTTTATCTAGTTTAGTTTTATGGGGGGTCGACGTTGTAGGTCTTCGGCACAGAAAATTTTCCAGTACAGTTTGATTCTAACTTTGTTTTTTTAAAACCGTTCAGCTGTAGCACCTTTTCGATGCCTAACTTCCATGTCACTCGAAGGAAGCACGAGGGCTGGGGTACTCTTAGGTTGCTCAAACCTAGACAGGGAAGTCGAGAGGCAGAGATTGGGTTTGAACTACGGACCTTCCTGTCAGCAGTAAATTCGTGCTCGAGCCATCTCGCCCCACCTTATGGTTTTGTGGGAAATCTGATATAGCTCGTACTATTTGGAGTCCTTTTTGCATCATTTAGATGAGAAATGTGTTAGAATATTGATAGCAGAATTTTCCAAACTGAACCGACTTCTGTGGATACGGATTCGTCATATGTATTGGGAATTGCAGAGAGTTGTCCAAACCCCCTTCTACAAACAGCAATAACAGACAAATATTTTCACCCTCTGTTACTGTGCAGAGGGTGCCTTTACGTCATTGATGATAAGAACCCTATCGATCTGGGTTGTGCAGACAACGAAGCTCTCATTTCTCTAAAAAAAATAAACTGACCATCTGGCGCGCCCTTTGCACATAAAAAGTGCAGAATCATGCTTAAGAATATGCAGCTTCGAAGCATTCGTAATTCAAGGAGATGCACTAGAGGTTGTGCACGGTAGCTTGACTCGATAATTGCACCAGGTCTGTTTGAAATGTGTCTAGTGGAGGCAATAAATGAATCCCATAGAAATTCTGCTCGCTAATAATGGCTTTAGAGAGAAGTATTATTGATGGATTTGCACCGAGTCTACTCTTTTAACCTTAAGGAGCTCTAAGTTAAAATTTCTCTGTGAGACCAACACTGGTACCGGCGTGTAGATTGATGCTGACTGTGATCGCAGCCTACTGCCAAACGCGAGATGGTTTTCGGTCATCCATGTTGCCTGAGGTTAAGTTAAAATTTCTCTGTGGGACCAACACTGGTACCGGTGTGTAGATTGATGCTGACTGTGATCGCAGCCTACTGCCAAACGCGAGATGGTTTTCGGTCATCCATGTTGCCCGGGTTTGGATTACTATTAGGACTCAAGTGAGGCTGAATTCTTGTGATATCTGGGTAGATTTCATTCATGCGTGACTTGCTTAGACCAGATATTCCATCTACTTTGAAATCCTGTTAGCTAATAGCCTTTACTTCGTCTATATATATGCTACAATTCATCACTGAAAAGGCCTCTACGCCGTTCTGACTGTCGTAATAGGACTAGCCACGAATCCTGTTTGGCTGCACGGTCGGCTCAACCACGAAATGGATACAACGTTATGAACAGATCCCCTTGTTTTCAAAATGGTGAACCCATGTGAACCCATGTGTCTGTGGAGTCCTCCCATCAACTACATAGGCCAAATCAATGTCTTTTTCGTTTAGCTTAAATGACATACCGGCTGCAAACAACCCTCCGGAAACACTTCTGAGGCTCCAGTCAGTAAGGTTCTTCAGCTCCTGTTCATCCGCCTTGCCGTTCCCAATGTTCGGATTCTCAAATTTCCTATTAGTTGCGTTCCAACTCTTTAGCTGAATGACCTACTTCCGTTAATTATGCGGACCAGTGGTTGAACTTCATCCTACCATTTGATACTGATCTGTACACTACCACGAAGACTTGAATCCCACTTATACTATTATGTATTACCAAGATTGCCACGCACCAGTTGGAAATACGCTCCGCGCAGGAACGTGAAAATTTGGATTGACATGAGTAACACTAAGGTCGAAGTCTTGTACTGCTCCCAGGTCAATGTCATGCTACTTTGATTGCAACTGTTTTGATGCTGACCCTCAGGTTCGCTGAGCTTCGATCTGGAAACAGCCACTGCAGAGTAATTCCTGAACCCAGTAGACTCTGGTGTATAACTTCGCTAAGCCCTCGACAACTTTTCGGAGACTGATGACAATGTTGTTTAGACATAGTCTTAGACATTGTCCTTTTTCCTCCCTCACTTCGTTCAAACGTACCGCTCTAATTTAGCTCGGAGCTCAAATGGGTTCCGTTGCCCGGACAGGAGGAGCTCTTCGGAGCGGACCAACCCACTGTCGTTTCTCCTCACATTTTGATTAACAAACTGGCCGTTGGGGATGAAATTGAAGCTCGATGTGTTGCTGTTAAGGGCGTCGGACGGGATCACGCCAAGTTCTCTCCAGTCGCTGCGGCCTACTATAAATTCCTTCCTGTGATCAAATTGCTGCGCCATATCGAAGGAGATGAAGCCAGACTGCTTCAGCGGAGTTTTGCTCGCGGTGTTATCGGGGTAAGTCGTTTAATAGCACTTTAAGATGGCTTGTATCAGTGATCGGTGCCACTTCATACTGCTGTGGTTGATCTCGTCAGAGATAGGAATGTAACAGAGTGTTAGCCGGAGGAACTGCTGTTGTTCGATAAGAATGCAGAACGGACATAGGAACGTCTGTTCCGTACAGGGCGAATCGACGAAATGGCCTAGTGACTGCAAACTGATGAGAATCGATATGCCCACTGTCAATTTAAGAGTTGGTTGTTGATTAAAGAAATAAGACTGGTTCGACCAGATAAACAGTCACCAGCTATTGGACGACAAGTGTTAGGTATGTGTGTCGTCCTTCAAGTAGAATCACTTGTCTTCAGTATCACGATATATGGCTTGAAATTGACACATTCTGAGGAGGCACTCTTTGACTCTCCTTTACGATATCCCGTTGGTACAAAATTCTCTTCCATCGAACACAAGGGTGGAAAATTTATGTGCCGGACCAGGACCGTTAGAACAATAATATTCCAGTGGCGATTGTGAACACTAAAACGCCATCTTCATATTCATGGCGTGATTATAGTTTTCACGTTTGCAAAAATTGCTCTTTAGAGGAACGTACTTTTGAACAGTCTTCCGAGGCTTATTTCAGCGGTCAAACCCCGGGTATCAGTCAATGCAAAGTAAACCGCTTTTGGTCCGTCACCTCAGGTGGTATCTCTGGAGGGAACAGCCGTTGTACCCTTCTTCACTTTAGGGTGCAGCATGAAGATACCGACCAAAAGTAATATCTTCTCTGAAGGGGCAGGATCATATCCGGTAAGAAGCGAATAATCACTGGGCTTTACGTCACCGCATGCACTATCTTTCCTTGAAAGTGCATATCTACAAGTGGACATCAGAGGTTGATCTGTTGGGTGTGGACGCATAATTCCAAAGGGTGTCTCTCCGGATTATAAATGGAGCTACCTATTGGTGATAATCTAGTCAGTTTATTGACCAATCTAGCCTCAATATAGCAGTAAAGTTTACCAACGGAGCGTAGTAACTATTGCTAGGGAAGTGCTGTCCTCTCGAAGAACCGAAATTCATACTTTCTTTCACACCCTCTGCCAAACCATACTTCGTCCACCTCGCGGTTCACCTCATTCTGAAAGAGGCACGGAAAACAACACGCGTCTTAGTAGACGGTGTTTCGACATGCGTAGAACATAATCGAGCCATCGTAGTTATTGGAGCTGGATGTTCTTTGCGATTGAAGTTCCTGACAGACAACCAAATACCAGCTTTCTAGTTATATCGTTGCGAATCCGTTGACGCCTTCTGAAAATAGCAGCGCTTTTGAGGTATCAGTGGTAAAAATACTGAATACACATCATCTGTCTCTTGCGAGAGTCGAGTAGTTCCAGGACGGGATTAGAAAGGAGACAGGATAGGAAGACGTAATGTACGCTTTAATCGTCTAATAACTGTAGTACATGAGCTGAAAATAGTGTGAGAATCACGAGTTAATGGGTTATGCAAATGTATGGGTTATATAGTCATGACATTCTCCCCGCCTTGGAATAAGTGTGTACTTTGCGGAGAA